TATCTTGCGCATCCCGCGGCCCAGGCCAGCTCCACCCCGAGCCTGCCACTGCGGTGCCCCGGGGCCGAGTCCCCTCTGCCACAGCCTCAGTGCAGCGCCGAGCCTGGGCCAGCCCCTCGCGGCCAAGCTCGTAAGGGGAACATGCATGTCAACCGCAGGGGTGAAGGAAACGATTCTCCCGCCCCACGCGGCAGCCTCGTCGCAAAAATATTCCCACAAAAATGGAAGAAAATTAAAATAGTTGTCACCGTTTTTCCATTAAAAAAATATTTTTTGGGGGGGAAAGCATTTTGCTTTTCAGAATTAGCCCCAGGGAAGGTGGGTTCAAAGGGCAGCAGAAGCAGCAAAGGTGCAGAAGAAAGACTGACTGCAAGGCCTCAGTGCCCAGCCTCCTGCCTCACGCAGTGCCCGCCGGCTGCTTGCACGCATTCAGTGGGCAGGGTCTGGTGGGCTCGGCTCGGTGTCCGCCTCTGCATGCTCATTTTAAACCTGTGATCCTCACTCCTGTCCCTGGGTTTTTGTTTTGGTTATTTTTTTACCTAAGCAGTTAGTGACGTGCCCTCAGTGGCCCCCATCACCACCAAGGGAGGCGTGTAGCTTGACGTGGTGGGTTTTGACCCATGTCACAGTATGGCACATCAAAAGGCCTGTGTCTCACAGGGCAGAGGGGGGATGCTGAAAGGGAGAGGGAACTGGGTACGATGGGTTTTTTCCCACTGTTTCTCTCTCACTTGCAGCCTCCGGCAGTTAAGGTCTAGGAAGCTCTGATTCCAAGGTTCTGCTCCTAACTCCTATGCTAAACACCTACCCCTGTCTTCCAAGGATTCATCCAAATGGTTTTTGAATGTGGCTAAACTGTCATCTTCTGTAACATCTGGTGACAGCAAGCCCCACACTTGAATGAGACAGTGCATGAAAAAGAGCTTCCTTGTGTTAGTTTTAAACTTACTGCCAACTAGGTTCATTTTGTGACCCCTAATTCTCATCTTGAGAGAGTCAGTAATAAATATCTGTTGGCTTTGTCTTTGCCAGTCAGCATTTTATAAATCCTGATCATGTCCCTCCTCAAGTGTCTCTCTTCTAAACTGACTAGGCCTTGCCTGTTTAGTAAATAAGCATTGCATATGGATAGATTATGATATTTTTAGTATCTGGTTATTGCCTTAAGACTATTTCTATCCTTTGTTCTTTAGGGGAAAAAAATCAGAATGGTTTTGTTCGAAATCAATTCAAGGTGAGCACTGAGAAGAGGAGTACAGTATATTATAGCTCAGTGCCTATCTGTTTGCAAAGACAGGTAGTTTCACAGCATCTGATGAAGTAAGCTGCTGCTTACAGAAGCTTATGTGATGCATCTCTGGTTTAATTGGTCTGTAAAGTGCAAATTTATCCTGCTTTGTATCTGTTTGCAGTTTGTAGAGGTAGATGTAGCCAAGGTAGCTATTAAATTTGGGATGTCAAAGTCATCTGGCCCCACAAGCCAGATGTATGGTGTGAGGCTGGTAGATGAGCCAGGTGAATGGTGCAGGGATTGGGCCCATGGCCCCACCCCACTGTATGCCAAATCTAGCACATGTTTCCCACTCCAGTTGCTCTGGGATTGTGCTGCCTGCAAAGCCTGTGTAGAGCAGGTCTGAGATGTGCCCTGAACATAGCAACTGCTTTAGCTAGTCTGGGATCTACACTCATTGGTGACTGGTAGCAGGGGCAAGTGCCCCCCTGAGATTGGTTGCTGCTGCTGCTGGCGGCTTCTGCAGGAGGTTGCTGCTCACCACCTCCCCTTGGCCTCTCTCCCTGCCGCCCCCAGGTCGCCAGCTTCCGTGGGTGGTTGCTGCTCCCCCCCGCCCAATGGCTTCTGTGGGCAGTTGCCGCTTGCCCCCCTCCCACCGACGCTCCGGCCCACAAACTGTGCCCCCCAGTCTCAGGAGGTACCAGTCCCCCATGCCTGCACTGCATTCAATGCCTGCCTGAAGCTGGCTGTAGCAGACGCCATGTGCAGCACTTCTGGACTGGCCAAAGTGCATAGCATGTGCTGCACTTGTTCTGGGCCAGGCCTACATAGATGCTGTGGACAGTGCAGTCCCAGACTGGCTGAAGCACCCCTGCTTTAAACCAGCACTTCTGTTGTGGCAGCCAAGTGCAGATGAACAGGTTTTTACCAAGCCTTTCAGGGGGTTTTTAAAGTCTGTGCCAGGGTCTGTGCTGCCACAGCTAGCCTCCCTAAATACAAAACAGTGTTTAATCCTGCAAACTTTAAAATATACATACTTTAAAATGTATTTTAATAACTTAAAATGAATTGTTTTTATTATCATTAACTTATATTGAATTTCTTGTATTACTTGTGGTGAAGATAGGCAGACATTTTTCTTCGGGTAAATCTGGTATATTTTATTAGACCAACTCAGATAGCTTGAAAAATTCTTCTTTGCAAGCTTTCTGGTACAAATACTCTTCATCAGGCTGAAAAAGCAGTAAAGATATCACTTAGACCCCATTCAGACAACTAACTTAACCATAATCATAACTTGGCAAATATTTACATTTACTGGTAAGATTGTTCTCAAGCTTTAAGTCCTGTGTGTGTAGGTGCTTTGCTGAATTGTTCGTTTCAGTCATTCTGATTTTCAAACACTAGAAGTTTTACCTGAATGCAGAGGCAGGATGTCTAAAATATACTCAGAAAATGTTCAGTAGGACTTTTTAAATCAGTTAACTATTGCAGAAATAAATATATTGTTATTTACTAAGTGAATAGTGATATTATATTGCATGACAGTTGCCACAAGCAGGTTGGTGTGCTGTCTCCCACATGGATAAGCATTGTCCTTTCAGGAGCCCCTCAGCCAGTCCAGGCGATAGTTCATAGCACATACAATAACCCTTGACCAAAGCAACAAACAAACAAGCAAAAATGAAAATTTCCCCTTTCCCCACGTGGCAGGAAAAGAGCCTTTGAGCTCAGCTCTCCCTAGAAGCAAGCTCATCTGAGTTTCAGTCTACCCCTGGGACACAGACTGCTTCTTCCCCAGCTCAGCCTGCTTGCTGTCTCCCTGCTTGGGCTTTTTTAATTTGCAGTTAATTCTTCATAGCTGGGATCTTATCCCAGTGCTACCTGTGCCACTTAAAGGGCCAGACCTCCCTGTTACAGTTGCGAAAGAGTTTGACTCCGTATTTACTTTAAGTCATGAATACTTCTTTTAGCCCTGCAGAAAAAGTAAACTCTTTACCTTTTAGAAATGCTGTTATAAAATACCAAAACAACAAAGTTCACATGACATTTAGGGGCTTTTTTAAATATTTCAGCCAACCAAAAAAAAGTAGTAAGGGCAAAGTAAAAAAATCTCTTAGATGCTTGAAGTATAATTCAAGTGCCCAAGTCCAAGAGAACAATCCAAACAAACCTTGGCTAGCTACCTGAGAATCTGGAGGGAGTCCTAAAATTATGTTGCTGTGCGTGCTCAGAGGTATCCCTAGCTTGGCTGAGTAGAGCGGCTTGGTGCCTCTCTTCTACCTAAAGCTGCTTGGGATGTAGGAGCGAGGTGTCCCGATGGTTAACTTATGAGAGAGGCCTGATCTGGCAGGCATGCTCAGAATATGCCGGACACCCAGACAACATAAAGGTCAGTACAGATCAAAGTAATCACAGCTACTTTCAAGCAACAATGCCCATCTTTTACATACGAGTTGGTAGTTAGAGTACTCATGCAGTGGTTGGAGGACTGAGGGATTTAAACCCACATGTGCATAACAGGAGACTGCCCTAACCATCAGGCAAAAGTGAGGCCACTGTTCGCTCAGTATTGAAGTTGGGTTGCTGTGCAAAACAAATGCATGATTTCATAGAACCAGAGAGAAAGTAAGAGGAGAATGATGCTAGTTCAGTATGAGGACATGAGAGAGAGAAAGAGATTAAGAAGTCATTGAATAACATGTAAGACAGTGTGTTAGGGTGGCTAGAATCCAGGCCTGCCCCCTTTTGGAGTGCCCTCTTCACTGTGCCAGGGTGCCTGTTGTTTGCTTTGTCTGGCCCTTTGAATTCTGTATTTCTTTCTGCAAAGAGGCACAGCTTCCATAATGAGATTGGAGAGTGGCATCACCAGTTTATTCTTTATCCTGGAGCATTTCCTAAGAAGTGTTTTAATTGCTACGCTTAATATTAAAGAGACATCATTGTGCTGCCACCCTGTGTTTTAAGAGCCAGCCATCTATGTGCAAAAGGATTAGTTGGGTGCCGATGTCTCGAAAGTATCTTTGGGGTGTGAATGTTTCACATGTCCCCTGTTTCAGGGAGAAGGATGTAAATCTGGAGGAAAGGCAGGATGTCAAACAGATCTCTCTCTTTTGACTGCTTTACATCCTATTCATAGATGCCTAACACTCCCTATTCATTACTGGCTATGTTATGTTTCTGAATTCCACGCCCAGAGCTGGGCACCTTAGCACACCAAAGTCCCTTTGTGCATCTGGTCCTAATAGTCTAAAAAAGAGATGCACAAAAGGCAGGCTATGCTGAGAATGTGGGGACTTGTGGTGGGGGCAGGTGTGAGAGCTCATAGTGTTGTCTTTTCATGCTATTTTTAAATTTCAAATTCAATTCAAGTGTGACTCATGGAATCAAGAGGGAATTGAATGAACAGAGTGATGGCTATGTGTGACCTGGGACTAGGAACAGCAGTACAGAGGTGTAACAAGCAGGGTTTACACCCTGAGCAGGTGGGGGAGGTGCTGCTGACTGCTGGAGGGTTGGGGGTTCCCAGTGGGGGTGGGGGTGGGGGGGCATGACAGGAGTCTTACCTATTTTGGGGACTCAAAAACAGTCCCTGGCTAATGCTGCTGATGCTGTCACTGCCACTGCAGCATGGTCTACCCAGTCTGACTGTTGGTCTTAGCAGCAGCACAATGTCTGTACTGGCTGCTGCTCCAGGATCAATGCCTTGAGACTGTTGTTGCTTTTGGGGTGCAGACTCCATGGGGGTGAGGGCAATTCTGATGCCCTGGGGCTCCTGCCCCTCTTGCCCATGTCTAGGTACGCTCCTGGGGCAGTTCATGCACAAGTGAAGATTACCAAAAAGAAAATGGAAAGAAAGAAATTAAGTATTGATGGTAATATCCCTGATATATTTGAGCGTCAGTCCCTTGGCAGACATTACATTTAAGCTGCTATTAACCAATTAATTGCATCTTAAAGTATAATTTGGGCACACGTTCAGGCAGTTAATGGCACAATAAAATATAAAACCAGCAACAAAATTATTACACATTTTTGTGGCTGGTTTCTATTGCACCCTAAAACATATGGCAGGGTAGACTGCATGGGGGTCCCTGATCCCGGAGCTATCCCTGCAGGCTGATAATCAGCAGATTGTTGGGTACCCTTTTGGTGCAGGGGGAATCCAGGATCACAATTCCAGGCTCCTCCTGCACTGGCAAGTAGGACATAATTGGGTTCTGATCCTAGAATCACATATTCTGCCATGCACATGTATTCCACACAATTACTGGAATCGGGGATTGAATCTCATTGTCCGTTAGGATGAACATGTGTTAGTAGTCTCAGGTAGAATTGTTATAGACCAGACCAGACTATAATTCAAGGCAAGGCAAAGTTGGGAAGTTGCTCTAAAGGTAAGGATCAGTTGTTGAGATGGTTTTGATGGGAAGTTTTTGGAAAAATTCAGAATTGGGATATGTGACATGGCCAAATTAATACTGGGAAAGATAGATTCACTGAGCAAAGTCAATGTTAGGTGAGAAGGGGAGCTTGGATCAGGATAACAGTTTGGAACCTGTACACCAGTGGTTCCCAAACTGTGGGTCATGACCTGAAATGGTGTTGCAACATCAGCGGATGGGATCCCTAGGGTTGGAGGGCTGTGGGCTGAGAGTGAAAGGCCATGCTGAGGAAATAGGGCTATAAATGGTGTCATGCTCAGGAAAAGTTTGGGAAGCACTGATGTACGCATTACTTTGCTGCCTAGGTCAACAGGATTGGCATTTGTATTGTGGGTAAACCTGGGAAACAGCTGTGTGTGTGGCTTATTATTTCTCATCCATGTAATATAAAATTATACCTAATACCTATCTATCATGATTACACTACAGTTCACAGACCTGTCTTGAGAATTTTGAGAGATGATTTTTTATTGGAAAATTATTTTTTGTTTCCCACAATAAAATTCAAGAAAATGAAAATATTTCATATTTGTCACTGTTTTTCCATTAAAAAATTGT